ACTATGATAGCTTTCTGATTGGTCTTCCTGTGTCAGCTCTTACTTGGCTGCAGTCTCTTGTATTGGTCAGCTTTCATTACCCTAATGAAATGCCAGAGACAGGCTAACTTCACAAAGCAAGGAAGTTTATTTCTATTATGGCTTTGGTGGTTCAAGGTCAAATTCAAGCCTTCGATGGCAGTGTCATCTGTCACAGGAGGCCAGGATTGGCTACAGCTGGAGTCATCTGAGATTTATCTATGCTTTAAGCTTGCTGTGGTCAGCAAGCTGAGCTGTGCTGAGCTGGTAGCTCCTGAAGCAGCAGGGGCCTCTTAGATAGCAGTAGCAGTGGCTGTCAGAGCATTCTCCCTCTGGCTGTCAAAGGGAGAAGGGAAGGGCTGGTCCATTTCTTGTTTTTGCTAGCATCACATGGCAAGAGACAGGAGAGAGAGAGAGAGAGAGAGAGAGAGAGAGAGAGAGAGAGAGAGTGTGTGTGTGTGTGTGTGTGTGTGTAGGTGTGCCTGGTATCTCCCCCTCTTCTTATAAAGCTACTTGGGATTCTACCCTAATAATCTTACCTAATCCTGGTCATTTCCCCAGAGCCCCTCCCACTAAGCACACAAGTCCCATTAAGTTTCTGCCCTCTTAATTGCTTAACAGTAGGGATTAAATTTTAATACATGAAGCTTTGAGGGACACTCATATCATTTCCACACTGCAGCATCTCGCTTTCTTGTGAAGCTATATATACTCTATATTTAAATAACTACATATGATTGTTCTCAGGATAGTGAGCTTACACTCTCCTCTAATGGACCATAGAAAAGTTATTGATTCTCAAGTTTGTTTTGTTACTGTTGTCAGTTTAGTGATGACTCGTAAGCTCCATACATGCAATAATGGAAACAGGACGTCCTGGCAATTTTTAAATTGTTAAATTTTATTGAGGATCAGTTTAGATGATTCACATGTGGTGACGTCCACCAATTTGAACTCTACAATTGGATTAGTTTTAAGAAATATGTGACTTGGTGTAGCTATTACCACAATCATTATATAGAAAATATTTTTCAGCCTCATTAAGTTCACCTATCCTCCTTTTGAGTCAGTCCTTTCTCTGATTTTCAATCTCTGGAAAGAACTGTTCTGTATTCCGACGCTAATGGATTGCCTTTTAAAAAAGTCTTAGGAATGTTATTTTGTTTTGTGTAGTTACAAAGATTTGCTCCTGTTTTGTTCTAGAGATCTTATGATTTGGTCTCATACATTTAGATATATGATCACCTTTGAGTGACCAGGGTAATTCTCCTCTTACAGAATAATTTGTGAGGTACTTCCTTTGCTTCTATTTTCTGGAAGAATTGGAGTAGATCTGATACTATTTTTTCCTTAAGTATTTGTTGAAATTTAACAGTGGTGTTGTCTGAGCCTGAGGTCTTCTTTATAGGAAGATTTTTAATTATAAATTTTGTTTCTTTAATAAGACAGGGAACTATTCTTGTTTGTTACTTTTTCAGTAAGGTTTGATAGTTTGTCTTTTTTTTTTGATATGGGGACTTGAACTCATAACCTCACACTTGCCAGGCAGGTGTTGTGCTGCTGAGCTATATCCCTGGCCCTAAGAGTTTGTCTTTCAAGGAATTTGTGAATTACATTTAGGTTGTTGAAGTTATTGTCATTAAATTGTTCACTGTATTCTCCTATCATCTTTTTGGTGTCTATAGGAACTATGATGATCTTGCTTTGATACCTGGCATTGATAATTAAGATCTTCTCTTTTCCTGATTAGTGCAGATAGAGGTTACTCTATTTTGTAACATCTTCCTATTTATTTTTTAATGCTTTCATATATTTTTTTCCTTTTCCTTTCTTCTCCTACTTCTTTTGGATTTAGATATTTTTCTTACTCCAGTGTATTTCTACTTTTGCCTTATTAACTATACCTCTTTGATTGATGGATGATTTTGTTAGTAGTTTCCTTGGGATAGGATTTCTTAAGCTCAGCACTTCTGACACGTAGGCTGAATACTTTTTGTTGTTATTGGATTATCCTATGAATTGTAGACTGTTTTCATCCCTAGCTTCTACAAGATGAAATTGTGTTCCCTCTCAGTTGTGATATCTACAAATATGTCTCCACATGCTGTCAGAGGTCCCTTGAAGACTGAGAGGGAGGTGGTAATGACAAAGTTACATTGATTGAGAATTGCTACTCTTAAGTTTATAGTATACATCTTTAATTTATCACAGTTACCATCATGTTATTCTATTGCTTTTCCTTTAGTGTCAGAATCTTAAAATATTATACTTTTATTTCTTTTCTCATATCCTTTGTGCTGTCTACATGCATTTTACTTCTATTCTGTGTTACAGACTTGAGAATGCATTGTTATTATTTTGGCTCTAATTAGTTTACCTCTTAGTAATTTTCTTTTTTCCTGATGATACTTGTATTCTTTTGAGCAGGTCTAAATTCTTATATTTTTTATTTGCTTGAAAAATTTTATATTACAATTTTTGTAAAAACTGGACATGGTAGTGCCTACCTGTAATTCCAGCACTCAGGAGGCTGAGGCAGGAGGATCACTGTGAGTTCGGGGCCAGCCTGGGATACAAAGTGAACTCAGACCAGCCTGAACTGCATAGTGGGACCCTGTTTCAAAAAGACAAAAACAAAAATTTTGTTATAGTATTAGTGTATTGAATGCAAATTATTTTAGCCTTTTCCGAAGTCTTTATTTCACTTTCCTTTTGGACTGCTGTTTTCACTTGGGATGCAATCTAGATTGACAGTTGTTTTCTTTGAGTATTTTGAATATGTTGTCAGCTTGTCTTCTAAATTGAGAAGTCTGCAGTCATTCTCATCTTTGACCTTCTGTATTTAATGTATCTTCTTTTCTGCTTTCTGTTAACATTTTCCTTTATCATTGATACTGAAAAATTTGATCTACGTTAGTTCAGCTTTGTTTTATTTTGCCTCATATTTTTTAAGCTTCTGGAGACATTGGGCATGTAGTTTTCATCAAACTTGGAATTTTAGAACAAACTTGGAACAGTAATTTTTTTGGGTAACTTAAGTTACATTTACGTTAAATTACTTAATGTTGTTTTGTAAGTCCTAAACTGCCTTTAATGTTTTGGTAGTGGTTTTTTTTTTTTTTTCTGTTTTCTTTATTTTAAGTGCTTTCTATTTTTGTGTATTCCAGTTTACTGATCTTTTTCTTCTCTGGTACCTACATTTCTGTTAATTTCAGTGTGAGTTTAACTTCAGATTGTATACATTTTAGAAGCTTTGGTATATATATATAAGATGAAAGGTACCCACACACATATGTGCGTATGGATGGCTTTCACTTCTGTTTCCTGTCACTTTTTCAGTGAATGCTAGATATTACACATTGTATATTTTGGGTGCCTGATTTTGTTGTATCCTGTTGAATATTGTTGGATTTTGTCCCAATAAATAATTAATTACGTCAATAAACTGGATCCTTTTGAGGAGGCTTAGTTGTAACTTTTGCTAGTGGATCTAGAACAACCTTTAATTTAGTATTAATGCGGCTGTACTATTAAGATGTTGCTTTTTCTAAGGGTTACCTAAGATCTCATAGTAGGAACATTTTGGCTACCGGAAACACAAAGTATTCTGGTCTGAGATTTGTTCAGTCTACTGACTGCTTTCTGCTGCTTGCTTTTGACCACTGGGAATTTTCATGCACACATACACACATCGAAGCTAAGCCAAAGACTGGTGGACACCCTTCAACAGATCTCCGCTTGCTCTCTTCCTAAGTTCTGCTGTTCCTATAGCCTGCCTTGCAGAGCTTGCTGCTTTGGCCACCTATGTCTGTTCTTTCCACTGACTTCCCCTTTCCTGCTCTGGCTTTCAAACTGTTTCCCAGGCGTAAGTAGTGGCAGTCATAGGCCTCACCTATTTGTTTCTCTTTTCATTGGTATCCTGTCTTCCTATTTCTTGTTAGGAACTTTTGATTCATATTTTTGCTTTGTTTTATAGTTGTTTAAAGCTGAGAGCAAGCTTTGTCCCACTATTCCATTATCTGCAGTGGAAGGCCTTCAGTTGTCATTTTGCGTTTCCTTCCTGTGATTGGAGCTTACTTTATAGACTATTTGGGCTGATGTGCATGCGGACTACTTGCCTTTCTTTCTTAGTACCTTGATAAGGAGCTTGTGTTGCCTATAAAGGCTACTGTATGTTGTTGGGGAAAATACTGTTTATCTGTCTTCTTTGTAGTAGAGGAAGTAATATTGTAGGTAAAAGTGGTACTACTTTTGCCTAATATATACCATAAGTTCTTGGAACGTGCAACAACTTGGTTATTTTTTTTCTCCTATTGCTTGTGGTTTTAAGACTATTCTTTAAGAGATAATTTACCATCTACTTCATTCTTGAATCATGACTCTCTATGCTCAGATTTTATTCTGAGAGCCAAACATGCATCATGCTGAGTTTGTTGGTTTGTTGCCTGGAAAATTGGTAGGGCAAAATTGATACTTTGATTATGGAGAGAAAGAGGCAGATTTTGGCTGAAAATGTTCATCTCTGGCTCCCTGAAAAGACGTACCTAGGAGGAGATCTGCACGTGAAAGAGAAAGGAGCACCACGCATAAGTAGTGAACTTCAAACATCATAAGACCACATAAGTAGGGTGACCATATATCATGCTGGCTGAGGGTAGCCCAGGTTTACATTAGTTGTTCTGGAATAATTTTGGAGGATGTCCTCCATCACTTTTGAAAGTGACCTGGTTTGGATGATGTAGACATAAGTGGGTATGCACATATGTGTGTACATAGTTACATATAATATACATGTTCATCCTTCTTATGAAGAATGGATTAAATAACACAAGGTAAATGTTAATACTTTGGTTACTGTTGTTCCTTGAGTGACAGATTTACTGTTTACTTTTTATTACTTTCTATTTTAGTTAGACAGTAGATAGTATATACTGACTAATAAACATGTTTAAAAAAAATTTTTTTTTGTATTTTTCCTGCAGATGATCTCAATGCCACCCACCAACACTGTGTTTTGGCTGGTTCACAACCTCGGTTTAGTTCTACCCACCGAGTGGCAGAGGTAAGTATAAATAAAAATGTGATTCATACTTAATGGGATATGACAGAAGTGGTTGAATGAGCAGTTTCTCATAGAGCTTGGAAGAGTGTTTGATAGCAAAATTGCTTCCATCTAACTTGAATCTCTATTTACTTGCCTTTTTAGCTTTAGGTTGTATTGGTTGCAGTTTGAATGTGTTCGTGGCTTGGAATAAGTATATTTTGCTTTTGGGGATGATATTTCTTGGCGAAGGTAAATACCTTCTAGTGGTAGGTGTCCCTAGTTTGAGATTTTCTTAGGTGCTGTATCTGTCAAGATCAAGAGCAGGTGATGGCTAGAAGAGATGGAATGAATTCCTGTGCTCGTACATTTGTTAGCTGTGGCTGGTTTCAAATGAATATTTCCCTTAACTCTTTTGTGAGTCTTTGGGCGTATGAGTATAAATGTAGGAGAAAGTTAAGGAATTTCTGAATTTCCCAATTGTGTTCATAACCCAAATTTTATTGCTAAATTTTGCCACCATGTGGCAGTGGCTACTGGTCAGCTGATCAAACTAATTCCGAATGGAAAGTTAACAAATGAGAAAAACCATAGCAGTCACTTTAGAGTTCCAGAGAGAAGACAGTAAGTATTAGTAGAATTACAAGTTGACCTCCAAGCCAAGAACAAGCCTACCTAATTCATGTGATAATTATGATGATGAAATAAATTAATCCATAGAAGTCTTTTAGAACAGTGACTGATATATATTCAAAGAATGTAAACTACTGCTAATTACTATTATTGTAATTTTATTTTATTCTTATGAAAATTATTAGAAGATAGGAACACCTATATTATATTACTTTATATGGAGAGTTATTCCATTTACATTTATACACTAGAGTGAGGGACTTTTAGAACATTTTAGGATAGCTAATGGAATGAAACAGGACCAAGGTAGGAATATTGTTATTATAATAGGATGTGGATACCTGGGAAATATTGAGTGGCTGTAGTTTGGATCCCAGAATATCAAAGGGAGTGTTAGCAGATAGGGGGACTGTGCATGGGACTGACTGTGAGTGTTCTTGGATATCAGATTAGGTGTTTCAGCAGAAATTTGTTGGCAGTCGTAGGCCATTCTTTAAATTGACATATTAGAGATAACTTAGGTTAGGTGATTGTAGCAGGAAAAAGAAGAAATTTCCATGAATGATATGGGAGATGTAGTGTGAGGCTTGGCAACTGACTAAGAAATGGAGACAGGAAAGTAGAATGAATAAATGAATGAACAAAAGAATAACTTTTTATTGGATACTTTCTTTTTTTTTTTTTTTTTTTTGGTTTTTCTCCGGTACCGGGAACCGAACTCACGACCTTGTGCTTGCCAGGCAGACGCTTTGCCGCTGAGCTAAATCCCTAGCCCCTTATTGGATACTTTCTACATGCCAAGCTCTGGGATGATTCTGAGGTTCAAATCTGGGTGATCAGGGAATGACAGGAGTATTGATGGGAACAGAGGGTCTAAGACATTGTAGAAAGGCAGTAGTAGAGTTTTAAACAGACTGAATTGGTACTACTAAGTAGAGAGGTCTAGCAGACAAATGGAAATGTGACATTAAAACATTGGAGAAGCCCAGTGTCTTGATGCAGGTCTGTAATCCCAGCATATTATGATGCTGAAGCAGGAGGATTCTAAGTTTGACCCCAGTCTTGGTGACTTAGTGACTTAGAGAGACCCTGTCATGAATAAAAAAGTGGTTGGGAGATATAGGTCAGTGTAAAGACTTTGGGTCCCAGTCCCCAGTACTACGAAATAGAATAATACAGCACAATTTGGGAGAGCATGAGAAACTTCTAACTCCCCATTTCCTGCAGTACGCACACAAGCTCTGCAAAGAGCCCTTTGGTGTACTGTTTGAAAAATAATTCCCTTAACAAAAAAAAAGGGGGAGGGTTGCTGGGGATTTAGCTCAGCGGCACAGCACCTGCCAGGCAAGCACAACATCATGAGTTCGATTCCTGGTACCGGAAGAAAAAACATACAAACAAACAAACAAAAAAACCAAAAAACAAAAAAAGAAAAAAAAGAAAAATAATTCCCTAGCCTTCATTGCTTAAGGCTTAGCTTTTTCAGATTAATCATAACTTTCTTTACATCTTCTAATATGTAGGGAAAACTTTGAGCATTCATTAACTGTAAACAAAGAGGGGGATATGTGTGATAAGTCTGTTGGGAGAAAATCATTGCCCCAGCTGTATGACTTTTGTATTTTTTTTGTGCTTTGGCTAAAGCTACGTGATATTTTTCTAATTAGACACATATAATGTGAGTTTTGTGACTATCTTGCTTTGTGTATTCTATTCCAGAACTCCATAAACTATGACCTATGAACAAAGGGACTAATTTTATAAATAAAGTTTTATTGTAACATAAGTACACTCATTTGTTTATGCATTATTTATGGCTGCTTTGGAGCTATAGTGTTAGAGCTCAGCAGTTGCAACACAGACCTTGTGGCCTACAGGCCTAAAAAATTTATTGTCTAATCTTTTCAGAAAAAGTATACCATGGATCATCTTTTGTAAATGGACTTTTAAAACTCATCTTAAAATTAAAAGTAATTTTTTTAAAAAAAATCACTGTTTTAGGATAAATTTATATTTCTAACAAAATATTACTACCCAATGTTAAAAAAAATAGTAGCATTTAGCGCTGGTAAAGTTACAGTGAAGCCAATATGTTTTATGCTTCTGTTAATTTTTCTTATTGATCACCTTTTAGAAGGCTGTGTGTGTATGAAGTACCATGGAAATATTCATATATTTGATCTCATAACACTGTTTTTAGGAAATCAACCTAGGAAATAATTCAGTAGAATTATATCTATAGAAATAAAGAGGTTTATTTACCAGGATTGCTAATCGTGAAAAATTGGGCGGATCCTTAATGCTTTGTACAGTGTGACCACTTAATTGAATTGTCAAGTGTAAACTTGATTGGCAACATTGGTACTGGTAGTTTTGAATACTTATTTGTAAAAAGAGAAAAACAACACATACATTGATTTCTGCATACTGATTAGAACTGTATGTGGACAGATAATCACAATAAAAAATAAAAATAGGTTTAGGTAGAACGATTATCTTTTTATCTTATTTAAGATTTTAAAATTCATCTTATGTTATTTTTTGAATAGTAGAAGTAAGAAATGATTTTCCTCAACACTGAAGTTATTATTTTATGTGAAATCATTGTATTTATAATATAATCTATGTAATTATATTATAAATTTATAATATAATTTAATTATATTATGGTATATTTATATGTTTATAATAATTATGTTCTAATAATTATAATAATTATTATTGTATTCTTGCATAATTATTTTTTGAATAGCTAGTTACTCAAGAAGTTTAAAATTCAAAAAACTACTGCCTAAAAGTTAGTCTTTTTTTAAGTCAACTAACTCCTCCTTCCCACAGAAAACCAAAGTTGTCATTCTTACTATCTTTTATGTGTGATGTTACTCAGACATAGTGGTAGCCTACCCTATACACTATTCTGCACTTTTTGCTTTGTTTCAGAAACTTTGATGAGAACTACTCATCAATACATAATTATTTTCTTGGCATAGGCAATGGCTAAAGTTGGTTTTTGTTGTTGGTGTTTTTCCTGGATTTGGGTACTAGGGATTGAAATCAGGGCCTCATGCATAGATCTCTTGCACACTAGGCAGGCACTGTACCACTGAAGTGTACCCCCAGTGTGGAAAAGGCTGTTTAGATAGGACATCTAGAGCACAAACAAACCAAGAAAAAATGGAAAAATTGGGCTTCATCAAATTAAAAATTTTTGTGCTTCAAAGAACACCATCAAGAAAGTGGAAAGAAAACCTACAGAATCGGAGCAAATATTTGCAAATCATGTATTTTGTAAGGTATTTATGTTTAGAACACTTAGAGAATTCTTAGAACTCAATAAGTAAAATGAGAAATAATTTTGGTTAAAATGGTGAAGGGTCTGCATAGGCATGTCCGAAAGTATGCAAATGGCCAGGAAGCCCATGAAAAGTGTACATCATAGAGAAATGCAAGTGAAAACCGCGATGAGATACCAGGATGGTTATAGTGAAAAAAGGATGACAGGTGTTGGTGAGGCTGTGCATAAAAGAGGAACCCTGTGCACCACTGCTAAGAGTGTATAAAGGTCGATGCAGCCACTTGGGGAAATAGTTGGGCTCATCCTCAGAAGGTTAAATACAAAGTTACCCTAAGACATAGCAATTCCATGCCTGGCTATATGCCCAAGAGAAATTAAAACTTGTACATCATTCTTCACAGTACCTTGATTTGCCTTTTATCATTCAAAAAGTGGGCACAACCTAAATGTTCATCACCTAAATGGATGAATAAAATGTGGTATAGCCTTACAGTCAAATATTTGGCAATATGGAGAACTGAAATGCTGATACATTCTGCAACATGGATAGACCAGGAAAGCGTGCTAAGTCTAAGAAGCTAGTCACAAAAGATCATGCCATGTATCATTTAATTTATCTGAATGTCCACTATAGACATATATATGGCCATAGAAAGTAGATTAGTAGTTGCCCAGGGCAGGAAAGGTTGGTGAAAATGGGAGAGTGAGTGCTAAAGGACACTTTTAGTTTCATTTTAGTGTAATAAAATTATTGTAAAATTAATTGTAGCTATAATTGCACAGCTGTATGAATATACTAAAACACATTGAATTATATGCTTTAAATTGGTGAATTTTATGGTATGTGAATTATATTTCAGTAAAGCTGTGGCAAAATAAAAAAGAATAAAAACCTAGCAACAAACCCAGGTCTGATCATAATCTTTATACAAAATAAAGCTCTCTACATTCAGGAAAAATTTCACTTTCCCCTTCCCTTTTTATCGGTAGCAAATAAGGTTAAAGTGTAGTTCATTTAAGTGGTTCCCAGTTGATGGGAAATTTAGGTTGATCCCATCTTTAGCTATGGTAAGTGGCCACACAATTATTTAGGTTACTTTGTACTTGGGGAAGTAAAGGACTGAGTAGGACAACTTTCTAGGCAGAATGTCATTTAAAAATATGTCGTAGGAGGGGTTGTGGGACTAAAGTGAGTGATAATTCACCTCTATTTTGTGTTTTTTCTTTGCAACAAATTGGAGCTGCCTGCCCTTGTGCTCTCCGTACCCTGGGGTCATCATATTAAAGTACATATTAGTCAAGCTTCTGGGTTTTTTTGGCACAGAAACTTTGTTTTTCCTAGCTTATAGATGTCACATTGTATAAATTGGCAATAGCTGTGTGAAGACTGTCTGACCTAGAGTATCAGCCCTCAAGGTTATTTCCAAGGACTCAGTTTAAGTTATAAATATGAAAATAAAAATATCTTAGAGATACATTTCCCTCATTGTTTCTAAAGGAGATATATATATAGTTTGCCTTTTATCATTCTAAAAAGTCATTTAATGATGGAAACAATTGGGTGCATACTCTATTTGCGTCCTCTTTTTTCTGACAGAGGGCCATTCCGAGTCTGTCCATTTGACCTCTGTTTTGTTTCCACAGACTGGCAGGGGGATGAACTAGTCATTTGTGTGCTCCCTGATTCCCAGGTACTAAGTTACGCCTTTGAATGTGCTATGACGGCATGAGCTCCATATTCTTTATCAGTTAAAGAATTTATTCTGCCAGTGAGCACAACTGTCTAGTGTAATGTTTTTTTTTCTTACAATAAAGGGAAAAACGTTTTTTGTCTTGTGTTTATAAACCTTAGCACCCCCTTACTGTTCTATTTTGAGTGCTTTTGAGGCAGCTCCACAGCTTGGTTACCTTTCTCTCCCATTGTTAGGTTCATGGAACTTGATATAAAATCAGTGTCCTTGACTTCTTGGTTAATGTTATTCATCACATAATATCTCTCTCTCTCTCTCTGTCTCTCTCTCTCTCTGTCTCTGTCACAGACAGACAGACGGACAGACATACACATACACACACACACTCGGCCTTGGTCTCATGTTGCTTGGTTAAATGTAAAAGTTCCACATAATAAAAGAATACCAGCAAGCTGAGCGGCCCAGGTGAGGCAGAGTCGGCAGCACAGAATATAGTGAGCAGGCTACTGTAGTAGTTCCTGAGCTAAGGAGTATGGGCTCTGGGGACGAAGGTGAATGTGAAAAGCGCTAGGACAAGCGGCACAGTTGAGTATGGCTTGCACTCTAATCTTGATTGCTGTTGTGTCTTGGCAGTGCTCTATGGGAACCTTGGATTATATTTTACAGCGCTGCCAGTTGGCTGTGCAGAATGTCCGGGATGATGTGGATAATGGTGATGTCTCTTTGAAATCCTTTGAGCCTGCAGTTTTGAAACAAGGAGAAGAAATTCACAATGAGGTGAGGACTTGCAAGAACTCTAAAGGATGTGAGATTCAGCCCTTACTAACAAGTTAATCTGCCCCAGTTACATGCTGCTCTAAGATATAAGACTCCAAAGTCAGAGGTGAAGTACACTTTATTATAACAGAGGCAGTAGCCACAGCCTGAGCTTTTTGTGCTAATTCTCTGCCTTGGTCCATTTTAACTATTCTAACAAAATATAGTAGCCCAGGGAGCATCTAACAACATGAATTCGTTCTCACAGTCCTGGAGGTGAGATCAAGATCAGAGTGTTTCCTAATTCATAGATGGCACCTCTTTCCTGTGTCTTTACATGGTGGAAGGGACAGATAAGTCCCCTTGGTCCTCTTCTATAAGTGTATGAAGTCCTCCCCACTCCTTACCACCTCCCAAAGGCCCCGCCTCTAATTAATATCGCTGTGGGGATTAGGGTTTCAACATAAGAATGGTGGGAGACACCAACCTTCAGACCGCAGCCTTTCCCAGGCTTCTGTTTCCATAAGATGGTGCAAAGTGGGCCAGATAACTTGTGCACCCACAAGGATTGCCTCGTAGGAGACGGACCTTGAGCTAAGGTAGCTTGATCTGTTCTAATAGGTAGTAAGCACAAGTGTCCTTTGTTCCAGAAGAAGGTACTGTTTTTGCATTCTGAGTTCTTAAGGCAAACCTGCCCTCCATTTGGGAAGAAGGTCTTTATTTTTCAAGGCTGTTTGCTGTACAAATAGCTCTGAACTGAGCATATGAAACACAGGCCCTTCATTGCCACTCACAACGCATGCAAAAATACGAAAGACTCAGCAAAATTAGTCTTCCAAGGACTGAGGGTCATCCTAAAGAGCGAGTGAAAATACTTTGCCTTTTATTTAGGAAATTAATTGCATTTCTGCAGTCTGTGAGCTCAGCAGCAGTTCCAGATTACATGAGTTAACATGTTTCCCAAACTTCTTATTATTGTTAATATTCTTTCAATATTACTATATCTTTGGGCTGCATATATTGTTAACTATTTCATCTTTTTTTGTTGTTTGTTTTCCGGTACCGGGAATCAAACTCATGACCTCGCACTTACCAGGCAGGCGCTGTGCCGCTGGGCTAACTCCCCAGCCCCTCATCTTTTTTTTTTTAAAAAAACTCCTTACTTTTGTTTGAGACAGTGTCTTGACATGTAGCCCAGACTGGCTTTGAACTCACTGTGTAGCCAGAGCTAGCCTTGAACTCATGGCAATCCTCCTGTCTCAGCCTCCTGAGTGCTGGGATTTTAAACCTGTGCCATCACATCCAGCGTAAACCACCTCACTTCTAACATAATTTATTAAAAAGGAGACTTTATATTGCTACTTTAAGTGGAAATCCAGAATGACTGTCCAAAGGAAAGAGTAAACAGAAAAATGTACCCAGTGAAACTAGAACAGTGTTTTTATCTTGTAGCAGATCCCTGGCCCAGAGAAGGCTCTGATCAGGCAGTCTTCTTTCTTGGTATAAAGGGAGAGTACTGGTAGTGGTTATACAACTTCATAAATTAAAAAAAAAAAAATTGTTGGATTCTCCAGTTCAAAGGGATAGATTTTATGGTTAAAATTATATCTTAAAAAATTTTAATTTTTTTTTTTAGAAAAGCAAGATTAATAAAGAGAGGAGTTGTATTGAAGAGTGTCACTGGTGGAGACTTTTTTTCAATATAGTCAAAATGATTGATGGACATCTTATTCATATCTTCAATAAGTAATTTCTGAGCATGTGCCAGGCACTCTTCAAATATATAGTATGTTCCAAGTTGCTAAATGCTACAAAGAAAAATAAACAACCAGAGAAGGTAGTAGAAGTTGTGCAGAGTAGGGAGCGTTCCTGTTGAAAAGATGCCTTTCGAGCAGGGATTTGAAGAAGATGAAGGAGTGAGCCGTGTGGATATCTGGGGAAGAGCATTTCGACTGCAAACACCATGAGGTTGAAAGTGCCTGGTGTTTGCAGAGTACTTCAGGGACAGAACGAATGGAGAGAGTGAGGCTGCCAGTGTGGGAGATGCGAGCACGGAGCCAGTGTCAGGAGCCTGGGGAATGGCAGAATTTATAGGTCCTTGGAAACCCCCAAAAGGACAAGGACTTTCCTTTTTACCATGAGGGAATTAAGGAGTGACTGAAGGATAAATAATGTCTGCCCCTACAATATCCTCGTGTATCCTTTTAATATCCTTTAAAAAGTATTTAATCTCTTGTGAGTGTGCTTTATGTTTTTGAAACATTGTCACAATTTCTAGAAGGAAACACAAAGAAATTCTCCTTTTAGGGGGAATAGTAACCACCCATAAGGCTAAGCTGAGCCCAGGGCGGGCTCCTTTTTCTTTGTTGTGCCTACTAAGTTCCAACATTCTCTGTCATCAGTCCCTCTGGAGACATTGTGGATAGGTAGGGTTATGGGAAAGATACACAGTTATGGGCCTGATGACCTCACTGAATTATAGGTAAAAGGAAAGCTATGTCTTCCCCCATGTTTGTGGTGTAGAAATTCTAATCTGCAATTTAGTTATTTCCTTCTCTAAAATCTTAAGAGTCAAGTTAGCAGATTGGGTGGTGTCTTTAGCATGCATATGGGCTATTTCATTTTGCTGTCCTTTCTGGTCTTCTGTGACTGCTGTTTTGTTATCATCAGAGGATGGGAAATCTGTAAAATTTTACTGCTTATCTAAGAGAAGAATACTGTCATCCAAATCCTTGTTTGAAAAGGTGGCTCACTGATTCTGACATTGTACACATTAGGGAGAGGTGGAAGAGATGTATCAGAAGCCTTAGTCCTTTGAGCCTAACCTGGGATTGAGTAGAGAGAGAGATCTTGAATCCAAATAGCATGTGTGCCAGTCTTCACCACCATCCACCATCTTTGTTTCTTCGAAGTCATCTCCTTACTTAAGAATTAATTCCATATGTCAGGACACATCATCAAGTATTGTTCTCTTCCTTTACTACTGGCCTGGGGTTGATCACTTGCATGCTTACTTTGTACTGTGTTCTATTATTAGATAAAAACACAAATGTCCATTGTAGATACCCCAGTTTCTTGTTTGCTTTCCTCTTTCTTCAAGGCCATGTTTCTTTGCTGAACTAAATTCTAAGATGAAGCATTGGGTTTTAAATACTGTAAACTTTCAGGCTGTCTGGGTTTAGGAGTGGCTTGTTTTCCTTGTCTTCAATAGTTCCTAACTAAGTATTTTGGGAACTTTAGACCTAGGAGCTGAGTACCTTTTAAAGTATTTTTTTCTAATGTAAGATGCTTAGAAAGATTTATGTTCATTCATAAGCAGAATCTTCCTCTGTGTTACTAAATTGTGTTTTCTTTTTAAAAAAGAGTAAAATGTGGAATCAGTCTCTTGGTGTATTTCTCCTGGAAGAATACACTGTTTGATAATATTGTCTGGGTCTTATTTTCCTTTGGTCAGACTTATACCTTTCTTACAACCTCACAAAGGATCTTCATAGGATATCCCTTTGTAGATTTGCTCTTAGCATCTCCTCCTCGTCTAATTTCTTTTTCAGTGACATAACTTAATTCAGTTACTATAGTGAGACATTAATTCTAAGGGACATGTTCACACATCTCATGCAGTAATTATGTTGTTGACCTGGGACCAAATCAAGAACCAAATGTGGCAGAAGAAAAAGAGGTGCTATTTGCTCGCCTGGAGGAGTAATGGAGATGATTTACAACTATGTGGTTTTATAATTAGTGTCTTAGAAATACATTTTAGAATCAGGGCTTTGCTGTGCATTACCTGAGTGCCGAGTGACTTAGGTTCAGCTAGTAGATGGATCCTGTTTCTTTCAGCTCTTCAGATGCTCTCTAGGTATTTCTGGGAGAAAAGGTTTTCATAGTTGATCACGCTTTTGACTGATCCATTGAGAAGGTAGATAAAGGGAAGACTGTTACAGAGATGGTTTTCTGGGTCAGTACGATGAATCTAAAACTACTGTGACCGTGCTTTCATCTTTCTCTGACAATGCAGCACGTCCTTTAAGATCATGTAGGGTCTGTAGAATGTCAGTATGCCTTTTGATGCTTGTGGACTTTAATTCCCTTTGTGTTGTAATCGTCTACAAAGATTGGATGATGGTGAATTTTCATGATATGCATGTTAGATGTCAAGGAGTTTGGTTTGTAGGTATAAAGAACACTCTAAGAGAACCTCAAAAGAGCTCCTCCGTATTGTTTCCTGTTGTTCTTGTCTTCAGGGACCTACATCCCTTACGGAGTGTTTCCTGGCTTCTGTTCTATGTTTGCATTCCAGACAGCTTGTCTCTGTTAGATGTGAGCCTGCTCGGGGGACTTCACTCTGGGAAAGGGATGAAGACCCAGTCCCTGTCATGCTTAGAATTTTATCAGTCATATATCGTGGTGGGACTTTTACTTATTTTTTTAAACTCTGAAATAATAAGGCTTCCATTGTATTCTGAGTGCTGACCCTCAGGTTTTCTGATAAGTCCACCCTATAGCTTTCCTTCTATCCTTCCAGAGTTTAGGAAAAAGTGAAATTTTCTTTTAAACTCTATCTGAAACAACTGGAAATATTTTTTTGCTTCCTTACTTAATTTTAAGAAAAGAGACAACTGCTTCTTTTGCCAGTAAGGGTGGCATTTGATTGAAAAACTGTAATTTTTTTTTTTTTTTTTTTTTTTGACCCATAGCATAGAAGTGAAAAAGTCAGGCCATGGGGTTGAATAAAATGCATGCCCAGTAGATTCGATGTTCACAAAGATTGTATCTCATGGGCCATGCTTCAACTCATGAATAAATTGAACTAAGAGTGGGTTCTCAGTTTTACAGTTTTCTGGGTAGCACGAGTGGACAGGGGCAGGCATGAGTTCACATGGATATTAAAACTTTTCCTGCTCAGAAAATCTCATAACATTGTGAGATGTTTGTAGACAAAGTTCTAGGACTTGTAGTCTTGGTTAATTTGTCTTCCCACGTAGTAAATACCTGATCTACAGTGAGTAGCTTAGTATGTTACCCTCACCAGAAACCTATGTGGGTAATATGTAATTATTCCAATTTTTAACTGATCCAGAGCCCTTTTGTTGTTGTTGCTGTTTTGAAACAGGTTCTCTATGTAGTTCAGGCTGGCCTCTAACTTGCAGCGAACCTCCTGCTTCAGCCTCTCTAGTGCTGGGATTGCAGGTGTGTGCCACCATGCTCAGCTCAGAGCTCTTATTCTTAATCATGGCAGTCTCTGCCTCAAGAGATAGTTGGTCACCTGGGGAGGAAGAGGAAGGCAGTATCTGTTAACGTGGACAAGGCTCGTAGTTTGTTGTCTTGTCCAGTGGTTGAGTCCCCAGATACGTTCTTCTCCTTGCTGCTCCATTTGAATTGACTGAAATCTGGACTCTAGTGAACCCTGATAGGTTGAATGAGCTCATCACATATGAAAATCTGTTTTAGTTCCTGGGCTACCATGGCCACCAAGGTTTGTGCATTCTGTCCTCTTCAATGGAAATAACCAGCCCAAAGGTCAGAAAACCTGTTAAACTCTCCTTAATATAGGGCTTGATGCTTTCCTGACAGGCCATTGCAATAGTGTGAACAAATTTTGTGTGAAATCCATGAAAGAGAATTCCTTTTTTTTTTTTGAAATAAATGTTGCTAGACCTGTATCTTCCCCAGAGTTTGACTGTGTTTATGTTCATTCTCCTTTCAAAGTGTTCAAGTTTCTGTTAAACAGTGTCTCTTAATACCATAGATAAGGTTTAGAAACTGTTGTCTTAATATTGTCTACATTCCCTTTTTGTTTTGTTTAAACAGCTTTAACTGAAATCTCTTCTACATATCAAATAAACATTTAGCTAATGTAAACCAAAACCTTTTCCTATGGCTGGGTGTTCTCCAGTTTCTCATTTCAGCCATTTCCCCATTGTTAAATCCTCACAAGTTGCTTTTGTTTGCCTCCTGAAAGTTCAATATGGATAAACAAACAAAAAAATTCTTTGTGGTAACAGGTGACAATTATAATAGGTTGGCGTGTCTGTGTATGGAACATAATCACCTTGGTAAAGCCAGAGAGCCCAGCACGAAGCTGTGATTGCTGTCTTTTCTGTTTAGAGGGCAGAGGTAAAAAGAATTTTTAGGAGAAGTGACACTAGACTTTGGTGGTAAAAATTTGATTTTCAAGTTGAAGATGCATGATAGAAGACAGGAAAAATAGAGAAAAATTTGTGAGCTTCCACCATGTTATTTAGCTTCTTACCTGTGTGTGTTAGGATTATTTTGGTTGCAAGGGACAGAGAAGTGAACCTGAATTGGCTTAAGTAAAAAGAGCTTCAGGAGTAGCTTTGATTAGGAGTCAGTTGATATCACTAGGACCTGATTTTTATCTTCTCATCTTAGAGTTAGTCACTTCCTACTGTGTTAGCTTCGTTCTTCCCGTTTGATAGCACAATAGCTATGGTCTTTTTCCTGTGTCATCTGGTGGTCTTGATAGATTGAACACTTACCTAAATCCCTACCCAAATCCAGTTCTGTGACTAGAGAAATGGATGGGCTGATTGTCTTCAACCTGAGTTTCCAGTTCTACTCCTAGAATTGGAGCTGAAGCTCTACTTGGATCATATGGACTGAAATTGAGGAAGGGATAGTTATGAGTTACCAGATGCATGGTAAAATTTTGCTAGAGTAGGAGGAGTGCTAAAAACAAGTCCATAGCAAGGAACATAAGTTATAGGTATCTTTGCTACTCCTTACCTGTTGGCATTTGCCCTTACTGAGTTGACAAGTGACAAATTGAATGGCTTTTTTAGGTTGAATGTATGCCTTCATAATTCATTTTAAATTGTTTGGTTATATGAGCTAAAGTGATCACCAGCTCCTACTGGCCCATGAGCAAATTCTTTATTTTAAATCTAAAAAGTTGCAGTTGTTACTCATAATATGTGTCTTTGTCTTGCTCTTTAACTCAGTCTTTAATAAAGATGTTTAATAAAAGCATTTTAAAAAATTTGTCTTTCTTATAATACCCAGTAGAGGCTGCTTAAAATTCAGGATCTCGATATTTGTTGTTGATTGACTCATGTAGTTTCCTCACATCTGACTAATGGATGTGATTGAAAACCCTTCCCTGGCCCAAGCAGGTTGTCACTCGATGACCTCAGCTTTAAGATTACTCTCTTCTTGGCTTTGCAGAAATGCTCTGGAGATGCCAGGGAACTTGGTCAGGTCAGGCTTTTCACACCTTTTTTCACCCTCTGGCTGTTAAGTCACCAGGCGGAATTGAGTGAGGAAGTCATTGTCCTTGCTTGTCCATCACAAGGACATTATAACCACCATCTTCTCTTTCTGGTCTGCAGGTCGAGTTTGAGTGGCTGAGACAGTTTTGGTTTCAAGGCAATCGATACAGAAAGTGTACTGACTGGTGGTGTGAGCCCATGACTCGGCTGGAGGGGCTGTGGAAGAAGATGGAAAGCATGGTAAGGATGTGAGGTTGGGAACTGTATTTTCTGGGCTGCTACATTGTACAGACCTTCAGCTGCTTAATTTACATATGTAAGTGCATGTGTAATTATTCCAAATTACTGAGTTAGATTATTCTTGGTGAGGTAATGAGAATAGCCAGGCTTTGTCAGTATAACCATATTTCAGTTCAGTGAACGTTTACTGAGAATAATCTATGTAGAAGGCACCATGCTAGGCATATGCTGGGCAGTGGCAATGAGAAAAGTTCAACCATAAATATCTACAATTTTCATTTTCATTTTTTTATGCACCAGGCACTATTGCAGATTTTTCTACATTAACTTTTAAAATTCTTACAGTGATCAGAGATGCAGAAACTCTTCTGAGCCTTAATTTATAGATGTGAAAACTTAGACACAGAGAGATTAAGTGCTTTACCTGAGGTCCCTGAGTAAGTGGCATAGTAAGATTGATGCCCAGGCAGCCAAGAGCTTGTCCTCTTAGCCACCATGATCCAACAGTCTAACAAGGAGAGAGACATGAGTATCACCAAGTGTTGTGTTACCTACAGTGTAATCCTGTAAGAGAGGTGCATTAGTCAGCATTCTTGCTGTGGCTGAGACTCAGTGACTAACACTCACAGCTTAAAGGAGGAGATATTTAATTTGCTCACGGTTTCAGTCCCTGATTGGCTGGCGCCAAGGTAGAGATGTCATGGCAGAAGGGTGTGGTGGAGCAAAGCTGCTTAGTTCATGTCAGCTGGGAAGCAGAGCAGAGTGAGAGACCCAGAAAGGAAGGGGTGAGGGACCAGATACAGACACCAGGCCACACCTCCACAACCTACCCACACAGACCGAGGAGTGTGCCCCACCAATCCCTGGGGCGGCTTCCAAAGCAGGGCACCTCAGATCCCCACCCCCACAAGAAGTTTCACACACACACACACACACACACAAACTCACAGTTCAGAAAAGAGAGTATTAAATTCAGATCACTGAAACAAGGACTGTTGTGAAACTACAGATGTGGCTTTTAGGGATCTTGAATGGGAGGAGCATTAGGTTTTTGACACTGTAAAACAAAACAAGATGTGAGGAGGTACCGCTTAGAGAAAGGAGGATGAGGGAAAGAAGGCTGGAAGTGAGTGGAAACCACATACTTAGGTTGTCATTTAAACAGTAGAAATAATAGCGAGCACTTTCATGATACTTGTCGAGTACCAGACACTACTCCAAGCATTTTCTGTGTAACTGATTTAACTTTTATGGCAAACCCATAAAGTCAGTATTATTTTCTCCTACTTTTTCAGACAAGCAGAATGAAGCCCAAAGGGCTTATGAAACTTTCCCAAGGTCATTCAGCTAATAGGTAAGGGAGCTGGGATTTGAACTCTAGAAGGCTGATGCAGGGTCCTTGCCCTTCCCTGCCTCATGTTCAGTCTCTAAACAGTTGAATTTGGAATGTAGTGGAAAAGTGATAAAAGCCTGCTAAACTCTGGAGAGAATACCACCATACAGAATTTGAAATGTGCTGAGAACAATGAAGTAATTTGCGGAAATGAGTAGCTGTTGCTAATATTATTTTTGAAATTGCTTTATTTAGGTATGATTGACCTACAGAAAGCTGTACATATTGAATGTATATAATTCAATGAGTTTGCAGATAAATATACATATACCCACAAAGCCATAATTTATGATACGTGCTATATAAACCAAAACTTTCCTCTTGCCTTCTTATTATCGTGATAGTAACACAGCATCGAATCAATCCTAATCCTTATTTTATAATACTGAAAATATCAAGTCACAACCATGACAGCCCCAATTTAAAAGTCTGGGTCAGAATTGAGAAATCTCTGTTTTCCAGACAGCTCCTCAAATCTTTAAACTATGTCTTTCCCTGAATTTGTTCCCGAGGAAGGAATATTATCATCCTTCTTATAGTGTACTAGTAGTATCACAAATATTGATTTCTCAGAAGACTGAATCTATACAAACTGTGCATTGTGATACTAAGGTGAAGATAAGGAAAGTCCTTGCCTACTTCTTCATAGTTGATTTTAGTCCTGAGCTAAGCCTCGGTCGAGGATGTTCTGTTTTTATGAGATGTATACAGCTTCAGTTTCAGGGCAACATTTGTACCTCCACTGTGTAATTCTGATTTTGTGCATTTACATTTGAGTTTAGTATTTCTTTCTTTACTGAGCTTTCACTCTGCTTTGAAATTGTAATTTGACAAGTTGTGAATTAAGAGTTGGAAAATAAATAAGGAAGGATCTTATTAATTTAAAAAACTATTAAATTCCTTTGTTCAAGATTTTTGAAAAAGAAAAATCTTTGGTATTGTGATTGTAACAACGATGTGACTATAAATTCATTTAATATACATTAAATGGATCTATCTATCTATATATGTATGTGAATATGGGCAGTGGCACATTAGTTAGGAGTCTCTTCTACGTATTTTGTAACTGTTGTATGAAAAACATTAAAAAGAACAGCAGTTCTGGGAATTTTCCAGAGCTGGTTCCCTTGTGCAGTAGCTGGCGTGGCATTCCTCAGTGAGCTGCGGGAAATCAATGGCCTCGTGTCTCTCCTCAGCAGGCCTCAGGATGATCATTATCAGCAGAGTGAAGGTCTGGGCCAAGATAAAAGGGACAGTCCTTCCAAGTTAAAGTTAAGTATTGCTTGAAGCCTTTTAAAATGACTTTTAGAAAATTCATAATAATTTATTTTAGCTATTGGAAGAGACAGAGAACACTCATTTTGAAAGGTCTGTGCCTCCGCGGCTCTTGTCAGTTTTTGTATATTGAGCGTGCCGTGGGCTCTGTACTCCGTACCAGGCCACCTCCTACTTTTTTTAGTTGCAAGCAGTAGGGGGCAATGTTGAGCTGCCAGTTTGAGGCCCCAGGACGCTAGCCTTTCAGGAAAATGCATACAAATGTACCATTAACTGTCAGGAATTATTCCCCTTGCTTCACGTTAGCTGTAATTTCCAAGATTCCATAACACAGGAAATCAGTTGTGGGTTAACAAATTCAACAGCAATTGAACATAAAAAGTGCAATGTTTGGTGCACATTTGGATTCTATAGAATTAGACTAAACGGCATATCTCAGTGTACTAAACTTTACTTCCAGGGAATATGTTAATCAAAATTATTATCGTTTTAGACAAGTGATTCTTTGTTATCATTATACTTTTTTGGAATTGCAAAATCATGTGTGCGTTGTGGAAAGATTTCTTTAATCAATGCATTTTGTCTGTTCTGCCACGTAACATCGATCTCTTTTAGTGAGAAAATAAAAAACCTCAGGCAATATGTGCATTACTTTTCCCCTTTTGCTTATGAGTAAAGCAACCTTTGACAGCCCGTGTAGCAGGGAAGAGACTTATGTTGTAATTTCTCTCTCTTTGTGTTCTTTTTTTCAGTTTGTGGTTGGAAGGTGTAGTCTCAGGAAGGATATAGGAGAATGGAAAACGAGCTTTGAAATAGTTTTTCTTCCAGTAATGGTAATTGCTTCACATGTCATAACCAGTCACATATTTCAGAAAGTTTAGTCAGCTGTCTCTGAAACTCCCCTAGCCTCTACTTCCCATCCCTGTCCCAACAAGCACTTCTTTCTTTTTTTAGCATGCTGTTTATTCTCACTGCTTCTCTCCCGGAGGATAGTTTTACCCAGTGCATGCTCTTGTGATGTAAATGTTAAACCTTATATTTGAATGACATTCTGATAAAATATCACATTTTCCCTGAATATTACCTCATGAATTTATGAGCCATTAAGCCTAACGTAACATAACCCTTTCTTACAACCCAGGAATTTAACCTGGCCTTTCCTCTCCTCTTTGCTCCGTATCCAAGAAGTATTATAACACTGTAATGCTATGCAAATATTTGTATTTTATTTTATTTTTGAGCCAACCTCTACCTCCCATCTAAGATTATTGTATTATGAGGAGACTGCTCAGGATAAGAGAGAGTTACCATTTGAAAGAAGCTGTATAAGCTGTGCTTTCTGGGTAAAGAGGAATATGAAAAGCTGAAATCTCCAGTGAGGTGAGGAAGTCTTGCTACAGCCAGAGATTGAATGGATAGGCCATTTGTCTCTCAGGGTCTGGTATCGCTCTTTGCAAAACTGACATTTATTTTACCTATAAAAATGTTTTAACACTATCAAATTCAGTGATACTGAAAAGAACGCTAGGTGTGAAATTCTCTAAATTGATGACATTTATTCATTTCCTTTTGACCTTAAGAAAAAAAAAAAAAAAGAAACAGCAAAAGATCTATTTGGTACAATCCAATGGAAATATTCCAGAACGGTTTCCAGAGTAAGTATTTTCAAAAGTACTGATGATTTATATACTGGAGAGAAATTTCTTCATGATTTTTTTTCACTGCTTTTCCTTTTTGAAGAGACACGAAGATCCTGATCATTTTGCATGTTTTGGGTTGCATTTCCTGTCCTGACAGTTGCTTGTGCTGGCATAGCAGTGCCTGTATGTGGCAGTTGGCCTTAATAACCTTTATTGACTTCAGTGGGTAGGAGCCAAGACTGGATTATTTTAATGTATCCATTTTGAAACAGTGTAAAACACAACATGTAATTATGTTCGGTAAGCTATAGGCTACATTTAATTCTACCCATTTGTGTTAAAATTTGGCAAAGGAGGACAGAGAGATGTGGAAAATGAGTAGGTATTTTATTTAATAATGTAACAAGTTTCTAGCTGTTGAAGTTTGAAGAGAGAAATGCATTTAGGAATGCAAAGGTTGTCCCTGACAAGTTATTCATAATAGTTTAATTTCAAGACAAGTCATACCTCTCTTCTCGTCCCTGTGATGTGCGTACATCACCTGGGAAAGCTCCTGCTCACCGCTGCGTGGAGGAGTCCTCTCCAGTGTGGGTTACACGCTGCAGGAAATGACTGAGCTGAGCGCTGTTTGTTTTAGGAGAGACCGACAAAACTATCATCGTGTTGCTTTAGGTTCAATTCATCACTGAATATAGAAAAAGGCTGCTTTTTCATATACTGAAGTATATCTCAGGTCATTGATATTTGCCACTGTAAAATAGTTTGGTTAGCTAAATTCATTTTAAACTTTCTTCTAAATTAAAGATTCTGGGGGATGAGGGTTAAAGCGATAAAATCAAAATTTTTGGTTATTTTAATGGTGAGGCCATATCCATATATTTTATCCACATATATGAAATTTATTTGAAATATATATAATCCATGTAAATGGAAATATATATCCATATATATGAAATTTATCCATGTATATATGTATATGGATATGTTTCCTCTCTCCACTGGTGTTAAAATACGTACTAAGTTGGATGTACTAACAGAATCCTGTCTCCCACGTTTCAGGGATAACATTTTTGATTGAGGAGCAGAGTATGTTACAGTAATTTAGGATTTGTAGGGAGGTGTCTGGTTGTTTAAATTAGGATTTAAAATTTCCTTCTTTTTTTGACTGGGACGGTGCTGAGTGGCTCAGGATGATCACAGATGGGAGGCAGGTTAAACAGCTACAAGCATCCAGTATTTCAAATTCTGGAGCACTGTGTTTTGGGAAATTTATGTTTATTTGGAAAAAAGAAAAAGCTGCTTTCAACCATCATAGTTTAAAATCTTTGACTCATATTTTCTGTTATCCTAAACATGTTCACTGAAGACTAGTTCTTTCCATTCTCCCCTCCACCAGTCTCCCACTCCAGTTCCTCACAGCTGCATTGTTCTATCAGAAGTAAAGTATTTGGGGAGCAGGGAGGGATATTTTACATGTAATCTAGCAATGGGTTTCTAGTAAGTTGTGGTTTCTCCTTTGGTTGCTTTCTGACTTTCTCTTAGATTTTTTCTACCCCTTCCACCTTATTTTCTGCAGATTTAATGATGAATTTTTAAAATAGTTTTGTGTATCTTGTCTTTTTGGGAAAAAAATTACAATTCCTAGAGAATTCAGGCTTAAGCCTCACAAACAGAATGTGCATGGAAAGCACAAAGGACTGTGTTTATGATTCTCTTTGAAGTGTTTTTGCAACTGGATAAGGAAAATTTTAGAAACCTTCTGATAGTGTTCAGGGTAAATACTTAAACCCCTTTAGAGAATTTCACACACAGATACTGTGCAGCAGAAAAAAGGGATACTTATGTTTCTTAAAGCTGCTACAGCCTACAGCTTTGTACTTAAAGACAGAGGTGTTGAATAGAATTCTACTGAGGATACATCCAGTGACAATATCTCCAGGAATATCAGAGCAAACCAATGGGTAGGACTTTCTGTTTTAACCCTTACGTGTGCTGTATGAGTTGAGCTTTATTGGTACCCAGTACTAGGATGTGCCTGGCACATCTCAGGAATGTTAAGAGGACAGACATTTCTGCTGCTTCTGTTATGCACACAACAGGAACAAGACCAAAAATGCTGAAGATGGAGACACAAAGTGACAGGAGTTAGAAATTCTAAGGGAAAGCTTTGCCATCTCTCTTAACTCTTGTTAGTATGTAGAGAGAAAAACTGGAATAAAGTTTCTATTTTTGCTTTGATTTCGTGGTACTTAGCTAAATGTTGCCAGTCTTTGGGTGTGAACACACACACACACACACACACACACACACACCATATTCTGTATATTAAAAAAAAGACAAACTCTGTTGTTCTAAGTGTTTGTAACTACACAGAAGTTGAGATTAATGTAAAAGATATGAAAGTTTCTCTTTTCCCTGGGGTCTTAGCCTTGGCTGCTGGAATATATTTTGGATTGCTTTGACTACCAGACCATCATAGTACTCAGATGTAAATTCAGAAATTCTAGTGCTAGGTTGAAGTGTCAGGAGCTTCCATTTTTCTGGGGAAAAATGTAGCATATAACAAATGTATACCGTCTTCTTTCTTTTTTGGTGGATGGTTGGTGGGGTGATTAAATTTAGCTGTTGTCTGTCATTTACCTTATTACAAATACTTTTTAATATTATATAAGAATCTCAGTCTAGAAAAATGAAGTGTTTTTTTTTTTAAATCAGCAGACCTATAGCTTTGAAAGAAAAGCAATATTTTCAAAGGATGCTTTGCTATTTATTTGGAATGCTATTCAGATTTTAGGTTCTTTTTTCCCGGAGTTGGTTAACAAAGAGCTCTAAAAGTGTTACCTTCCGATATTTATTGTTGTGATGACTGCCTGAGGAGGTTTGTAAAATATAAACTACCTATGCAAAGTATCACCAGTAGTAATCTTAGTCAAGAAACAGTCTTCAATTTAGGAACCTTTTGGAGAGGTCATTTGAGTCTCTTGTTAGAGATAGTATTGCTTTCCTCTATGTGTTTTCCTAACTCTAGAGTTCAGGCTCAGTCCAGAAACCTGAATGGTCCTCAGGAAAGGAACTTGCAATAATTTGGAGTAAAGTGCTATTTTTATAATGTTCAATCCATGTGGGTTAAATATTTCAGGAGGCGGGGCTGGAAATCTCCACATTTTGCAGAAATGTCTCTGGAGAAATGTGCTGCAAAACCTGACCTACCAGAGAGCTCTGGGAACGTATTAAGTTGGCTATTCCATATGTTAAGGGTAACATAACCATCATCTGCTTGTTCCACATTGACATCTGTAAAATAATGGTTTTTTTTTTTAAACCAAAGGAAACCATGGTATGTTGCTTTTTCTATATTCCTGAATGTATCTCTGTGATCATTTGTGGATGATATTTTCAATTCTGTCTGTTTCTAACAAATAAATTAGATTGACTTTTTTCTTTGCATTTTGTCTACATGATCTCTGCCCATCTGAAACCACCCATCACAGTCTTGTTTGTAAATTTTTCCTTTATAAACCTTAGATATATATAAAAACCTCAGATATGTCCTTAAATTGTTTTTTGATTGACTGATAAAATTAGCCTTCAATTAAAAATCCGGGATATTAAGGCAGTGTTCAGAATTAAGCAGTGTTGTTGACATAACTGCTTTGGTTGTAAAGACCTGCATTTACTTAAATATTGCTAATTTAAATAAGTTGTAAACTACCCAGAATTGAGCATCAGATGTTCTTTAACAGATGTTGGAGGAGTAACAGGTTTTGTATTTTATTTAATGGTATAAACTTTTCATGTAATAGTGAATTTTTTAAAGGATAGGAGTGCCAGGATATGCCAGCACCCATGAGAAATTAATATTTTTTTGGTACTGGACTCTTATGTCATGGGGCCCCTGAATACTGTATCAGATGGGAAAGATGGGCAGTATCCAGCCATCTAGTAATAAGCATCTCACACTTAGCATATATGACACCAAACTCTAGACTGCTGTAACCCCTGTCTTTACTTCAGTTTCTCAGAATGGAGTAACTTGATTCATCTACTTGCCCCAGCCTAAAACTTCAGAATCCTCTTGATTGACTAGTGAATCCAGTTAGCTCTATTTTCAAAATCTGCTCATGACCTAACCCAACTTTACCACTTCCTAGCTATTGCCTTGTTCAACCCAACCATTTTTATAGAAATAGCAA